CCCACCTCCCACCCCCTCCCCCAACAGCAGACCGCCAGCCATGCGTGAGTTCGATATAAATTATTGCTATAGGCAAGCGGTCGTCTGGATTCCCGCAACATGTCCCGCCATGTCTTCAGTAAACAGATATATGTCCTAAGGGGACCCGCTTTAGCAAATACCTCTTGTCCTATTGTCCTAAAATGTGATGTTGAGGATTTTTTTTTTTTAGAGTCCTCATTTGAAAGGGGTTTAACGTTCTTGCCATGCGTTGATAGACATCTAGTCAACGTTTCACGTTCTTAAAGTTGCATCAAGAAAACGGCCGCCTTGTGTTTCGGTCTGGGTGCTGATACCTCTCGGCGTCAATTCATTCTAAGAAATAGAGGTTCACTCCATCATGTTTACACTTTAGGACAGGATTCTGCCCGGTGTGGAAGACAAGGTAGACACCTGGTCCATGCAGCGCCACAAGGTAGACACCTGGTCCATGCAGCGCCACAAGGCAGACACCTGGTCCATGCAGTGCCATATGGTAGACACCTGGTCCATGCAGCGCCACAAGGTAAACACCTGGTCCATGCAGCGCCACAAGGTAGACACCTGGTCCATGCAGCGCCACAAGGTAGACACCTGGTCCATGCAGCGCCAAGCTTCATTCTGGGTGTGTGGGAAATATCACTGTGGGTTCTTGTAATGTTACCAAGAGGGGCTTAACTTTATCTTGTTTCATCTATTCTACAGAGGCGACAAGACAAAACCAGTCCCTTACCATGCAGGACCTCCTTGTTCCAGATGTCCAGTGGATGCCAGAGAGTGCTATGACGGCCTGTGCAGTAAGTACACAACATTTATGCGATGTATAGTGGCATCTTGTGATGCAGATATGGTGTATAGTGTGGCATCTTGTGATGCAGATATGGTGTATAGTGTGGCATCTTGTGATGCAGATATGGTGTATAGTGTGGCATCTTGTGATGCAGATATGGTGTATAGTGCGGCATCTTGTGATGCAGATATGGTGTATAGTGTGGCATCTTGTGATGCAGATATGGTGTATAGTGTGGCATCTTGTGATGCAGATATGGTGTATAGTGTGGTATCTTGTGATGCAGATATGGTGTATAGTGTGGCATCTTTTATAAACGATAAACTCCAGTCTGCATGTTTCCTCGGGTGATGTATGAAGACTATGATAGGCAAATGCAAAAAAGTATGAAGGCTGCCATTCGCTAGCGCACTGAAGTATGAAGGCTTTCCTTGGCTATTGCACTGAAGTATAAAGGCTGCCATTGGCTATTGCACTGAAGTATGAAGGCTGTCCTTGGCTATTGCACTGAAGTATGAAGGCTGCCATTGGCTATTGCACTGAAGTATGAAGGCTATCCTTGGCTATTGCACTGAAGTATGAAGGCTGCCATTGGCTATTGCACTGATGTATGAAGGCTGCCATTGGCTATTGCACTGAAGTATGAAGGCTGTCCTTGGTTATTGCACTGAAGTATGAAGGCTGCTATTGGCTAGTGCACTGAAGTATGAAGGCTGCCATTGGCTATTGCACTGAAGTATGAAGGCTGTCCTTGGCTATTGCACTGAAGTATGAAGTCTGTCCTTGGCTATTGCACTGAAGTATGAAGGCTGTCCTTGGCTATTGCACTGAAGTATGAAGGCTGCCATTGGCTAGTGCACTGAAGTATGAAGGCTTCCATTGGCTAGTGCACTGAAGTATGATGGCTGCAATTGGCTAGTGCACTGAAGTATGAAGGCTGCCATTGGCTAGTGCACTGAAGTATGAAGGCTTCCATTGGCTATTGGACTGAAGTTATGATGGCTGCCATTGGCTATTGCACTGAAGTATGAAGGCTGTCCTTGGTTATTGCACTGAAGTATGAAGGCTGCCATTGGCTATTGCACTGATGTATGAAGGCTGCCATTGGCTATTGCACTGAAGTATGAAGGCTGTCCTTGGTTATTGCACTGAAGTATGAAGGCTGCTATTGGCTAGTGCACTGAAGTATGAAGGCTGCCATTGGCTATTGCACTGAAGTATGAAGGCTGTCCTTGGCTATTGCACTGAAGTATGAAGTCTGTCCTTGGCTATTGCACTGAAGTATGAAGGCTGTCCTTGGCTATTGCACTGAAGTATGAAGGCTGCCATTGGCTAGTGCACTGAAGTATGAAGGCTTCCATTGGCTAGTGCACTGAAGTATGATGGCTGCAATTGGCTAGTGCACTGAAGTATGAAGGCTGCCATTGGCTAGTGCACTGAAGTATGAAGGCTTCCATTGGCTATTGGACTGAAGTTATGATGGCTGCCATTGGCTATTGCACTGAAGTATGAAGGCTGTGATTTGCTGTTGTCCTGAAATGTGAAGATGAAGGCTGTGATAGGCTGTTGTACTGAAATATGAAGGCTGGTGAATATGCTGTTGTACTGAAATATGAAGGCTGGTGAATATGATGTTGTACTGAAATATGAAGGCTGTCATTGGCTATTGCACTGACGTATGAAGATGAAGGCTGTGATATGCTCTTGTACTGAAGTATGAAGGCTGTGATTTGCCGTTGTACTGAAGTAGGCAATTGCTGTAGACAATGTTTACTTGTGATGTACTTGAATCCCTAGATCACTTCTATCGGAATGCGTACATTTTAAATGACATTATTTTGAAAGAAATTTAAAGAAGATAACGCAAACAACAAAATAGTTCAAATTGAGCTCTTCATTCAACTACCAATTCAACGCTCTTTTCCTATTAATTAATTAGCCGATCAGCTTGATCCAGTGATACAACAACTTTCTTAACGAAAGATAAAATTATCCTCAAGCAATAGTTTTAGATATTACACTTGGTAACAGTAACTAATTTCTTCAGAGCTAAAATAAACATAGTGCCTATGGGTGGGCGATTGACACCCGTAGACCAACAGTCTAAAGTAAAGCATAAGAACTTGAAATCAACATGTTAGAAAACTGGAGTACCCGGTACCGGTATTGTGTATTTCTTTGTTTAGGGCAAAGTTGAAAATCCACACTAAAAAAAAAAAGATCTACCAAATTAAATATTATATTATAAAAGCGACATTGAACTTCTGAATAAGATCTTTCATCAGCGCAGAAGAATGACATTTTCTTCTGTACCAACATTCTATCTATTTGAAGTTCAATGGCTAAAAATTCCATCTATTTGAAGTTCAATGGCTAAACATTCTATCTATTTGAAGTTCAATGGCTAAACATTCGATCTATTTGAAGTTCAATGGCTAAACATTCGATCTATTTGAAGTTCAATGGCTAAACATTCTATCTATTTGAAGTTCAATGGCTAAACATAATATCTATTTGAAGTTCAATGGCTAAACATTCTATCTATTTGAAGTTTAATGGCTAAACATTCTATCTATTTCAGCTTATGGCAGAAACATACCACGACCCAATGGCAATCTGATCTCACTACACAGGACAGGAAGGAATGCAGCCAAGGTGGCAAGCTGTTTATTCTTGGGCCTTCTGTCGGCAACATGTAGTTCCTTGTGAATCTGGTCATAGCATGATATTAGAAAGTCATCATGCAATTATGTCACACTACAAGGATATTGTCACCACACAATGATGGTTCACAATACAAGGATGACGTCACCACACAATGATGGTTCACAATACAAGAATGATGTCACCACACAATGTTGATTCACAATACAAGGATGATGGTACCACACAATGATAGTTCACAATACAAGGATGATGTCACCACACGATGGTTTACATACAAGGATGATGTCACCACACGATGGTTTACAATACAAGGATGATGTCACCACACGATGGTTTACAATACAAGGATGATGTCACCACACGATGGTTTACATACAAGGATGATGTCACCACACGATGGTTTACAATACAAGGATGATGTCACCACACAATGATGGTTTACAATACAAGGATGATGTCACCACACAATACAAGGATGATGTCACCACACAATGTTGATTCACAATACAATGATGATGGTACCACACAATGATAGTTCACAATACAAGGATGATGTCACCACACGATGGTTTACAATACAAGGATGATGTCACCACACAATGATGGTTCACAATACAAGGATGATGTCACCACACAATGTTGATTCACAATACAAGGATGATGGTACCACACAATGATAGTTCACAATACAAGGATGATGTCACCACACGATGGTTTACAATACAAGGATAATGTCACCACACAATGATGGTTTACAATACAAGGATGATGTCACCACACGATGGTTTACAATACAAGGATGATGTCACCACACGATGGTTTACAATACAAGGATGATGTCACCACACAATGTTGATTCACAATACAAGGATGATGTCACCACACATTGTTGATTCACAATACAAGGATGATGTCACCACACAATGTTGATTCACAATACAAGGATGATGGCACCACACAATGTTGATTCACAATACAAGGATGATGTCACCACACAATATTGATTCACAATACAAGGATGATGTCACCACACAATGTTGATTCACAATACAAGGATGATGGCACCACACGATGGTTTACATACAAGGATGATGTCACCACACAATGATAGTTCACAATACAAGGATGATGTCACCACACGATGGTTTACAATACAAGGATGATGTCACCACACGATGGTTTACATACAAGGATGATGTCACCACACAATGATAGTTCACAATACAAGGATGATGTCACCACACGATGGTTTACAATACAAGGATGATGGCACCACACGATGGTTTACATACAAGGATGATGTCACCACACGATGGTTTACAATACAAGGATGATGTCACCACACGATGGTTTACATACAAGGATGATGTCGCCACACGATGGTTTACAATGCAAGGATGATGCCACAACACAATGATGATTCACAATAATGAAGATGTCACAAAACAACGAATTAATATATTAAAATAAAACTAAATATGAATTGTAAAAGAAAAAAGTATGTTCATTAAAATTTTTAATTGTTGTTCAACTGATGATAAGGTTTAAGTCCAAAATCTCCCTGCCCAAGGTCAATCAATGTATTCTCACACTGTTATAGATAGGGACTGATTCTCAAACAATTCATCCAATTTAACATTTTTAAATTTAAAAAAAATCAGGCTGAGTGCTGGATCACAAATAAATGATGAATTAAAAAAACTGAAACAAAGCAACCACTGAAATCATAGCATGTTCTGTAACGAAGCACCCAATGAAACTATATGTTGTTGTTCGTCCGTCGAGGATTGACGATGACCATCGAGTTGTCCGGTGACTGATGACTTGCGCGGGTGACTTTTGTTTAAAGTGAGGAAGAGTTGTGCGGCGTCAACCTCACTCTCTCGTCCGGGCCCACCATGTCCAGTGGCAAGACTCTACGTCAAGATGACCAGGGATGGGTACGGTTGCAGGAATTGTCATTGTATGTGCCTTACGGAACTCCAACCCCGGGTTTGAATTCAGAGTTTCCTTCTCTTAGATGAGTTGCCGACCAAGGCTAACGAGTCTCATCAACCCGGGGTGATGTTTTTGCTTGACTGGCCTTTGGCTGGTATGGAACTCCAGACCACCATCTTGAGGTTTGCTCAGATTAGACCATTCGGCCACCCAGTCACCCATGCAGTGAATGACCATGGCGTTCTACGTGTCTGGCCATGCTCTCAGTGATTCACATCACTTTGCTATCCCCGCCTTTCGTCCGTTGACCAAGTAGTAGTTCTTCCGCACAATATAAATCTGGTGTTAGGCTGAATAGGAAGAAACCATCTTTTTAGGAAACAGCCGGAAGTCTATGCACTCAGCTCTCACCTGTGGTTCCAAGAAGCTGTAACATGCACAGCGACCACAACCCAGACAACGATTCCAGGTTGAAGGTAGCCGAAAGGCATAGAACTTTTTGAAAAAAAGGGCTTGTCCCCCATAGCATGTAAAGACTGAATCCGAATGAAACTATAGCATGCTTAGTAACAAACCAGCCAATGAAACCATTTCATGTTCTGTAAACATGTGATAGAATCAATTTAAACTAATTACAAAAAAAAATAATTAAAAAACTGCAATATAAGAAAGTTATTAAATATTTATTGAAAAATCAAATACTGGTACAAACACTGGCACAAATGCTCGTACATAAGGATAACAGTAATTCAATAACATAAATTAAATCTATATTTTTAAGCAATAAACTCTGTTCTCATATGCTCTTACATACATGTACACAGTCTGTACAATATTTATCACATGATTCATACCTCTTAGATCTAAGATCATTTCACATCTAGAATTTAAATTTACTTAATTTGTAAGATCACAGAACAATGACAAGTTTATCATGAGGCCTACTGGTTAAGATTACTATGTTTATTTAAGGAAGTTCAGAATGTCATATTGTGAGATGGTACTATAGGGTTGGCATGATGGGGTTGTCACTATTGCCCTGTTACAATTGGACCACTTATCTAATTTCAACACCCAGTTGACTGGCTGCCGCTGCTTCAATAAGTTGATGCACTTCGTTGGCTTCTTCTTGTGTCAAGGTTTTCTCCATGTGGCGATAGACAATTCTGTAACAATGGCTACTTCGTCCTGTCTTTGGGTGCTTGAATTCATCAATCAGTTTAACCTGTGTAGTGCATGAGTTTTATGTGGTCATGGTTAACATGTCAAAACAAGAAGGGACTTGAACTGATGGCAATAGAATATAAATAGCTAAAACTGATGGTAATAGAATATAAATAGCTCTCAGGCCAACCATTAATGCTGATCTGAGAATTACAGGTGAATAGCAGATTTGTAATGGTTTTAAAGAAGCAACAGTTCAAATAGATTTTATCCCATCTTCTTTTTAATCCCTCACGCTAAAATCTTTAAACTCAGAAAATAAACAAATTTAATAATGTTGTAATTATTTATATGTGTCAGGTTTTCAAATTTTACAGGATATACTAAAAATCTAATAACTTTTATACGAACTTTTAAGCGTTGCGCTAGATCATGTGATGGAAAAAGTACTTTCTACTCATGAAATTTTTAAAACATTTTTACTGGACGCATGTTTGAAAAAAGATGACTTATGCATTTAGAGAGTTACATTAGCATTTTATAGCACATACCTGCTCCACAAGGTCCCCACCAACTGACCTCACAATGTCATAAAAATCATTGGATGTAAAACTGTCCGGTATCCAGAAAGAAATGTCATTGGCACACTGTGGATACTTGCTCACAGCCTGTATAAAATTTAATACCTTGTTTTCATAACTTTTAAAATTTAAAGTAAAATGCACTCTTTTTCCATTTACATTGATAATATGTGAATAGATATTTTTGTACAGTTAATGATAAGCCTGCGCATACCTTGTAAGTAATATTTTCATTGAAATGTTTGTGCTGAAACTGATTTAGAAATCCAGAGTCGGTGCTCCAAAAGAGACGAATGTCAGGAATAGAATACAACTTCATAGCCAACCTCTCCAGTCCTAGACCAAATGCCCAGCCGGCTTTAGACGAGGCCCCGGCTGCAAGTAAAATAATATCTCATTGCAGAACACAGTTGATATTTTTTTGGGCCAGATCCACATCTGAGCATTTTGGTACAATTTAAGCTGCCTCCAATTATACAAACAGTTGGGGAAAAGTATATTATGATTTGTGTTTTTACAATAAAATTGTTTCAATAACTGTGGAATCTCAAAATGGCATTATTTTATATTTATTATGTATGGTTTCCTCAATGAATACAAACCATATTTTTTTAATCAAATCTTAACTGAACATATTTTGTCTGTATGTTGATAGTAAAATGAGACTTTACCTGAATCAAGAAGCTTCTGCTGCATAACTCCACATCCTAACATTTCTATCCATTCTCCCTGATGAAATATCTCCAGCTCCCATGATGGATGGGTAAAAGGGAAGTAAGCATTTACCCATTGCATTTTGAGATCTGGAAAAATTAATCATGAGAACTTAATTTTGTTATAAATAAGAAATAAAATTTAATGGACACAGAGAATAATTTAAAATCTAGAACTGCAAAGAATTTCTTTGAGAGTTGCTGATTTCCACTAATGATTTATATAGATAACATGAGGAGCAACAAGAAAATAATATTTTGCATGTTTTTGAAAGAGAGGAATTATATATGACTATTTTTTTATGTTAAGCCAGAAAAAATAATGATAAATAGGAAAAAGGATATTTTATAATTTAGTAAAGAATCTATTCTACAAAATATATGATGGCCTACATCATTGTCTTTGACTATTTTAGCACATGCAAAGCCAACTGTTCCTGGATGTTACTTGGCCAGTTCTTATTTTATATGGATTTATGAAATAATATCTATGATTAGAAAGAATATAAATTTAAAAATTTTAAAAAGACTTTACAAACATTTTCATATGATTCATTAAAAACATGGCAATTATTCCTTGCTCCCTAAATAGGTGCTACTGATCTTTATATTTTTAATTTTATTACAATGTTTAAAGTATTTTTTTTCTGAATACCTTCACCAAACAAGGCTCTCATGAGCCCCTCTAGGGTAGTTTTAAGATTATGTCCTATTAGCGTTGAGGTTTCCAGCGTATGTTTTTCTTGTTTCCATTCATCTTTCACTCCATTTTCAAACAATTTAACACTTGTGGGGTCTGAAACTTGACTGAAAAGCTGAAAATAGTATTTATTTTCAACAAGTTATTATGTTTACTATATAACAAAGTGACTAAAGAAAAATCGCGACTAATAACCAAATTAAAATTTATATTATACTCTTTTTACTTGCATTTGACAGGAATGCGCTTCTCTCAGATTCTAGCACAAACCTTGCAATACATTTCACATTTTCAAGAGAAATAGGTAATAAGAATCAAACCTATCTTTTTCTATTATGTAATTTTGCTTGGTATTTAAGAGCTCACCTCAAAGTCGGAGAATAATCGTACTCCTTCAACCTGATGAAAAACTGGATAATGAGTGGCATCCACAGCATCACGCCTGTACACATCCCCCACCACAATGAATGCATCAAGCCCTGACTGGACCAAGTCACGTTGGTGAGCAGATGTGTGTGCGCGCAGCATATAATTTGAGTTTAAGTAATATGAATCAAATGGAGACCTGCTTATATGGTCGTGTGGAACAAGCAAACTGTCAAAATTTTGTTCAGTTGTGACCACTGGACTAAGTCTGTTGTATGAGGAGAAAATTGGGTTTCCTCTTTTCAGAAAAGTCTTATAAAAATATGACTCCATCCTTTGATATAGAAGTTGAAGGGGATGATTTGGAATATTGTGAAGATTCTTTCCAACCTTGCAGAGAATGGAGGCTGTAATGTTTGTGAAATGATCTGTTTGGTATGTTTTACCAAGAACCTCTAATTTTTCTCCGAAATTGTGTTTAAGCGTTCGCTGTGAAGCACTGTCAGCGTAGCGCTTGTGGAACAACACACGCGAACGTTTTTTAATTTGAATTTCTAATAATTTTAACCTGTGATGAGGTATTTGAATTTGACGTAAGAAAAACATTTCAGAAATTATAAAGTTTATTTATAATAAACACTGAATGACTGATACTCTGACTCTGGTGAAAGTCTATATATTCGTGGTATGATATTATTACTACCTTCCTTTTTTTTATAACTCCATTAATAATAATCAATTGGTAAGGACAGTAAATTTAATATTTTGCTCGTGTCACTGTGTAATTACTGATCATTATTTTTAAAATGTTAGTGTTAGACACAAAGCCTAAAATGAAAGGAAGTAAATTTTTAAGAAAGCGAAAGTCGTATCGACCTTTATTTATGGCTGCATCTATAGTTGACAATGACTATTCGCACCCGGAGTAGCTGCGTACAGATTAAATGGCTGCGGAGCCGGGTGTGATAACAATAATAGTATGAGCATTATTTATTTTTTTTATTGCTTTTTCTCCTTGTTATTTCATAGATTCATAGTTTTATTAATTTTATTTTTTTTACTTTTGCTTTGTTAATTTTTCTTAGGACGTGTAGATTTTTTTTCTTTCTTATTTTCTTCTTTAGTTTAAGCCATTTTCGTGGATCATTTTTTTTTAAAATCTAGTAATGAAGATGATTTAGATACATTTATTTTTTTTATTAGAAAAGTAATAATATAAATTTAATTACTAAAATTAAATCCCTTATTTAAGATTATTTATGTGTATTGTTTAAGTTAAAAGATTTAATCACACAGTACTTAATGAATTAATTAGGTATTCTAAATAATGAACATTTCTTTCATAATGAATTAATTTCAACTATTCCTCTAGAGAGCTTGGCTTAGTCAGAACAAAACCACCAATTTTTAACTTTTTCCTTGGCACTGGGAGTCATACATGCGGACACTGACTGTTTTTCCCGATATCTCGAATCTCCTTCCAACAACTTTTCTCATTTGACTTGACCTAATTCACAAGGTAGTTGCAATGAATATCTTAAAGTTAAAGGATGCCATTATATAAAGCATGAGAAAGAGACTTATTTTTGGAGGACTCGTCTTTTTTTTTTTTACCATAGCTGTCTACTGGGTCTAACACACTGGTACATAATTTAAAATTTAATAGAAAAACAAAACCTTAACTATCAAAAGACGGGAGATTGAAAAAAAATCGATCATATATGGCGGGTAAAAAAAAAACGACCCCTAAAATATATATAAAAATAATATTAAAAGGCGAAAATAAAGATTTACTATTTTGGAATATTAAATTTCTATTTGGCAAGAAAGAAAAATCGTTTATTTTACTAGTTCTTGAAGAAATCTGGTAGCAACTTGTCCATTCATAAATTTTCCTTTTCGCCATTTACTCATATTTTGCCACAATTCCGGTTCACTGTTACTACACTCTAAAACATTGCTATGGAATCTGATTCTGATTATAAGCTTGAAATGGACAACTATTCTTACTTTGAGGAATATTTTTGATGAAGATAGCACTTCAGATGTGTCTGATACCGAGAATTGTGTAAATTATCATCATAATAATAGCATCCAAGGTTTGTTTACTTTTTTCATTCATACTCAACTCACGTATCACTGTTATTAGCCCTAACATTAGTTATTAGTTTTATTCAAGTTCCAGTAGTATAAAATTCTTAAATAGATTAAATTATTTATTTGTTTGAAACTAATTTGTAGTTATACAATTATTTTAATATTATTACGTTTCAGTTAGCAAAATGTAAACAATGGTTGCCAAGGCCAAGGCTATTATTATTACACTCCGCCTTAAGTAGGCACTTTGATTTTGATTAGAAAATGAAAACTTTTTGTAAAAATAAACCAATGGCATAGTTGAATAAAGCTAATTTTTTAAAAGAATTATAACACCAAAATCATATTTTTAGCTGTTGTAGTTTTTTTACATGGACCGCATCGGCATCTCCATTTTCTGGTACACAATTCCGCTGTTCGCGTCACGAGCTATATAACTCTTGTTTTAATGATAATTTTATTTTCAGAACTAATGCTGTATTAATGAATTAATGTATTAAAAAATAAGTTTAGGCTGAAACCGAGAACGGCTGCCACAGCGTATTTTGTGTCTTTATTAGTTGCAGTGAATTACTGAATTAGGGTTTAGGTTACTGGTTAGGTTGAGAAATCGATTTAGGGTTCAGGTTAGGCATAGGGATCGATTTAGGGATACATTCGTGAAATTCTATAAAAAAATGTCAGGCGTCCCCATTTTTAACCCAAGTTTAATAATGTTAACAATTATAGATAAATTGTAGCTTATCTAACTATACACTATATATATCAGTAAATTTAACATAATGTATTACTATTAATATAGTTACTTTGACACAAAATTTAAATATTGTCCGATTGCCATGAATGATACATCATTTTAAAGGGCTAGCTATAAGCTTTACAACAACACCAATTTCATCTTTCTATATTTTATAGAAGTGGAGTTATGATTTTTTTTTGGTGATTTTTTAAAACCCCCTTCTTTAACTTTGTATTTAAATGAAAAATCGTGTGACCCACTTTCCAAATTTCTGCCTTATTTTGCCCAAAACTTTTGGATTTTAAAAGATAATGCCACCAAATTGTCAGGAGACATTCTCAATGCAATATACATCAAAATAAACAACAAAACTTTTATATAACATCAAGATTTTTATTTTTTGATATATATACTTGTGGGTATGCTCAGCAAAAAGTGAACAGAAAAATTGGGAAAATCATTATTAACCGGTATATAGGAAAAAACAAAAAAATAACATGATTAATGAATTTTAACTAATTTTATTATGCTTGTGTTAAATTTTAAATCAATTATTAAAAAATAAGACTTTTTTTTATATACAAAATTGAACGCATGTAATTATAGACAGCTCAACGATAATAACTCAAAAAATGAAAAAACTCATACAATCAATGTAGATTGGGTAGCAATAAACCTTATTTTGGTTGATTTACTAGTAAAAAAGTATTTTTTGTGATTTATATGCTAACCGAGTCATTATAATAATACTGTCCGTGATGCACAAAAAATCTAGTGGCATTAATCAATATATGACCTGAACACAAAAACTGATGAGGAAAGCAATTATTTAATAAACAAAGGTGACGTAGTATGCAATTTTCCAAAGATACAGTGTAGCTGTACGCCATATTGTTGAACAAGTTTTTTCGACATTTTTGCACACGGCAAACTCTTATGAATGAAACTTGAGGTAGTCGGTAGTACTACGGCATAGCATTAAGCAAATGGCTGTGGTTTCCCATGACTTTTTGCACACGGTCAGTTCTAATCGCTAATAATATGGACTCTACCGGGTTTTTAAAGCTCAAATTAAAAAATGTTTTCAAAATGCATTCTGTAACACAAGTTATAAATATTTTGATGTAAATAGAGATAATAATGAATATTTCCTAAGCTAAGTATTGGCTTTCCGCCATTTAAAAGGGGGCGGGATCACTAATCCAAAATGGCCTGACCGACCTTGTTTTAAATTATCATCTAAATGGTTTATCATAATACTTACAGTACTAGTTTATAATTTTTTTTTGTCTTTCAGTTCCAATGCAAGCTAAGAAGCAGTCAGAAAGATGATGCTGACCTGATTGTTGGATCTCAGGCAAAGACCATGCTGCAAAACAAAGAAAAGTACAGCCCCAGAGACAAGGGGGTTGTGGAATTCTATGCTTCTGTTAGAAAATATTTTGAGATGGTGCTTGACTACCTTCTAAAAAAAACTTCCCTATCAGATCCTGCACTTCAGAATGCTTCTGTATTTGATCCAAAAAGGAGGTTAAACAACACCAGCTAGAATACTTCCTTACCAGATTCCCCATTCTTATCTCTAGAGGGACTGATGTTGACACCATCTATGTAGAGTTTGATAGGCACCAGCAGAGGAACATAGAGGATTGCATTGAGGATGGAGTAAGAGTTGACAGGATTTGGCAAACAATTTGCCAAAAGCACTCATCCCTTAAGAATCTTCCCCATGTAGTGAAAGGGATCCTCACCATACCTCACTCCAGTGCTGCATGCAAGAGAATATTCTCTATGTTCCTGAAAACATGCGCAGACCAGGGAAAAAAAATAATGGCCCAAAAACATGAGAGGCCTTGTTAGTCATCAAGAGAAAATCAGGAAGCTGCTTGGACTTGAATGAAACTTTCAGTGCAAAAGAACTCCAGCAGCTTAAAAGTTCAGCAAGCGTCATCAATACACAAGGTATTTAAGTATTTATAAAATGTGTACTCAGAGAATGTGCCCCTTTTATTGCTGCAAGTGTACTAATTTGTTCAGTATTGTACTATTCTGAGACAATATTGTACTATTTTGAGATGTAATTGAACTATTTTTTGAGTTCCTGGAGAAACAAGTCTGGTGCATGAGTATAATATAAGCTTTAATTAAATGATAATATAATTCTTTTATAAGGCTAAAGCATCTAGACCTAGATGAGCCACACAGTGGGATCTGACTATGATAAAAACATCATGTTTGTGGCTCTTTAGGGTTAACAAAGCTTGGTCAAGGGCCTACAAATAAGCATTACATTAAATTACAATTTATTTACAACTGTAGGATGTTATAAACTATAATTATCATACGGTAGATATTTTAAAAATAATAGAAATTTGTTAACATTCACAATTTTTAGTTTTATAGTTAATGAAAATTCACAATATTTAGTTTTAATCTAAATATTATTAAAACTGATAGCCAGTGTAAAAATGTATGAGTGTGTTTGTATGACAATGTCAGAATTAATTTGTGATACAGATTAGAGAACACATTCTTCAATGAGTGACACTCAACGTTAAGGAGTTTACCATCAGGGTCCCATTTGGATAGCTCTGCTCAGGACCATAAAAGTTACCCCATGATGTTTGACCATTGCAGCTTTTTTTGCTACAATTCAACACTATAAGATAAGGTAAGATAAGATTCTTTTCTTTATCCAAATAATGTGTTTTGATTACATTGTATCTATTCATTTTTAGCACATATCCAGCAAATATTCTTCTAAGACAAAATTTTTAAACCAGAGCAATTTAAACACATCTAATGTGTGTCTCAAGTGCAATAATCAGGCATCATATACCACAGAACTTCACTCCTTTAGTGACAATATTAACTTTAATTAAGAGCGATTGTTTGATTTTGTTAAAGCCAGAGGAGCACCCTGTTAAATTCTAACAGACTGTTGAACAAATAAGTGCATAACTTTCAGTGTTAACTTTTGAGGGAAAGAATTCACCCTGATTGAGCTCTTCTTAAGTATCTGTCCTGTCATGTTTAAAACAAAATGTTTACTTAATG